GTAGCCAACGAGGACTTGTTGGTTGCAGGTCAGATATCTTTGATCGTCTTCTGCAACTCTTCACAGACTGCAACCTGCTTCTGACTGGCACCGACAATCGACACATTCAACGCCAATATGCTACCTACTGTTCTCTCTCTGAATTACATGTCTGGACTCAGATTGATCATATCACGATCAACTACCGCTCCTCTGGTTGTGTATATCAATGTCGCTTCTTTTAATATATTTATATAGACGATGATTGAACACTTGTTTACGCTAGCCTCATAATATGTTTCATTGGCTGACAAATTCATCATCCTAAACGGACTGATTTGTTTTAGTTTCTGTTGCAACGAAAAATAAAATCGAGCTGGGTTCAAGACTACCAATCGATCCATCAAGATTAGTACTGGCTGCAATTGCACGGTGCCGCAAAATGACGAATGAAATCACTTACGGATTCGCCAAACGTCCCACCTATAGGCATTGGGTTTCTGCAGACTACGTACAAGTCGGTGAAGCACATCAGACTACTCTGAGTAACCGTCAAATTGACGACAGAAGAAGAATTTCATGTAATCAAACGGTGCAGAGTATGCGGATGGACTCAGAAGTCTAGTGCTCGAACTGTGCTGATGAGTTGGAAGTAGTAGTTGCATTTGGTAACTTCAAGCAGCTCTTTCGACCCATAGCAGTCACTAGCGGCAAGAAGTTTTTTATATGTGAAACAGTCTGTGACGATGATCAAAAATCAATCAATAACATCCACCCATGTCTTGTACAATGGACAGAGTTTTTCTAGGGACATCTAAACTAGTTTGCTTCCCCGAGACGTCGATTAGGCTGTCCTGTCTGCCACAGCCAAAGACGACGTGGAAACCCACAAGGAATCTCAACTCTTGAAGCTGTACAGATCACGAGGACTAAACGATGTATGTCCAGCTATTCTAAAGGCAGTGTCGACCTTCTAACTATAAAAAAGACTGAGCTGTTTACAATCGCTCGACAATTAATTTTCCGACATCATGGAATGAGTCAATAGTTGTACGTTCATGTAAGAAACAACTGTCACGTTAAAAGGTTACTACTGACTGCGTCTAAATTATTTCCTTTCTTCATGCTTCGTAGAGTGCTCAAAACCGGAGAAAGATTAGCTCGTGATTTTCAGGCAGGTTCTTATTCTGTTTGAGGATGCATTGATCTTACCTTTAACCTCCACAAACTGTTAGAAAACCGCAATGCTTATACCAGTTCAAACGCTTTGTGTTTCCTAACTGCAGATTATATTGTCTGACTGCGTGAAGAGTCACAGTCCGCGCCTAATCAGTTGGCAATCAAAGTCCGTAGGTATGTCATGTGCTTTTCAACTTTGAATCACAATGTACTTTCACAAGATTGTCAGCAGCCTGAATCTGCTTTCCTTCGTGTTAGTGAGCAGACGGAAGTAGTCGAAAAATTCATGCATCTCTGAGAGATGAGATCAAATCACGTTTAGTGGAAGCTGGATCGATTTATGTTAACCTAGGCTATGTTTGGCGTCTTCGTGATGCTTGTCTTTTTGGAAACGTCTGGGTCAACACATGTCGGTGAGGACTGTTTCCGTTTGTGAAACGTAAACTCTACGAAACGAGGATGTTAAGCGACCCTGTGTATATTCGAAATACTGTTGACTTTTAGTGACAACATCGTGTGAGCAATGCAGAGGTTCGAAAACGTGTATTCGGGCACAGTGACGATAACTCAATCGGTGTCATCATGTTTAACAACTGCCAAGTGTAACTAATCTTTATCAATATATGAGTGCAATGATGATATCAACTATTATTCTGTGATCCAAGTCAGTGTAATCTTGGAATTATGCAACCAAGGATAAACCTAGAGGAGTTAAGGAACCCTGACTCTTAGGCTACATGATCTCGATGGAACAATTGACGTATGAAAATACTCCTGGTAACTGGATCCCAGGGGACTGCTTCTCCTAACGTTGCTCCACTACCTTGTAGATAAGACGTCTGGGTCAAACGTTAGCACACTGGCGCTTCTTAGGATAATCATGTACAACTTAGAAGTTCCGGTCTGTATCTTTACATGCTACTTTATTTTGGCTTACGAAGCAGTTTAATATCAGTAGGTTATCAAGTACATCTACAAATTGTAGCTAACAGTCTTCATTTGCACAAGCGGTCATCGATGACATGACAGTTTCTTATAATTTGTTCGGCCTAAAAGAAATAAATCGGTTACTTCTAATGAAAAATTTAACGCCGAAATTTAAACAAACAATGCAATATTTCTTGAAATAAAGTTTATTCTGAACATCTGTACAAATAACTGTAATATCGACCAGTAGAAATGAAGTAGACGACATTCAGTGAAATTTTTACTCATTCAATCTAATTCAACTAATCACAAGAATTTCATTGGAACTAGACAAATTTTTAATAATGAGTAATCATAATAAGTAGTATATGAAATTTGTAATAATTATTATGTATCTATTTCGATCAAGGTCATTTTTTATAGGTTGTTCAACTATTCATTTGGTTGCTGTTTGCAACCAATTCGTTTTCATTGAACTCATCACATCATCAAATCAACAAATATGATTGATGAAAACACCATCTTGTCAAATGAGTCTGTAGAAGGTGGTGAATTTTCATTGGCAATTACTAGAATAAAGAAAATAAAAGAAACAGATCTGGACAATGATATTCAAGTATAAGTAAATTAATTTTGAAATTCATATCATCATAATGAATAAAATTTACGTTGAGTAAGTGTTGTCTATTTTTGAAAAGAAACAACATTTTAAGGAGAGAGTTATTTATTAATGATATCATGAATCAGTGATTGTTAGAGCACCATGAGAAACTTGTAAGCACTGGATGGCTGTTTTGGTCCTGGTGTAGTATTCATCAGCACAGAGCATCCAGGACTCCTTTCGCTCACGTGATTCTTACTTGGGAGCATTGGTCTTGTTCATGAACGCTTATCCTCTGAACCAACGAGCTAGAATCCGGAGGAGGTACTGTCTATCTTTGGTCAATTTAAAATTTTGCGCCTATCTGAGTTCGGCAGTTACAACCTAAACCCAACAGGGTTGGAATTCACTGGTCACGTCTACTCACTAGAACTCCAACAATCTTCTCATGAAGCTATCACATTGTATGATATTTCATGGGAGAATTACGAAGATTGTTGTTCAATAATGGGTTACAATCCTGCAAGTAGCAAAAGACGTGGATGCTGACAAGTTTCGTGCCATGATGAAACCGTCATCCAGTGCTTCCAGCTTTTTAATGATTCTCTACTAACAATGATTGATTCATAATTTCACGAACAAAATTTTAGTGTTTGACATATTTTTTTGTTCTGTTTTATTCTTGTTTCAGACCTATGTCAACATATGCCCACTGTTGTTGGTGCTGGTTTATTGTATTATCAATGCTGTTCACATTTTCTATAAGTGAATCCATCAAACCTGCGATACCATTAAATGTCACTTATGAAAATGATTCATTTAAACAAGTTAGAAGTTTCAATTGATTCATCAACATATTTTTTTGTTTTAATTCACTAGTTGAAACATCCCAGTTATTCACAAATTATTATATTCAATCAGTCAACATCAACATCGTCAATTGATTTAAAAGATTTAGAAAAAGTAACTGTGGCATCAGATGCCCCGATGGTAAATTGTTGTTGTTTTTTCTATTGAACTATTGAACATTGAACACCTTTATGTGTATTTTGGTTGTACAGCGTATTGTTACAATGTTTCCGATCAAATTTTATGGGGAATATTATCGATCAGTTGATGTTGTATCAAATGGTTAGTAAAAATTAAGATTTTTAATTTTTGAAAAAAAAATAACGCTTTATGTTTATTTGATTTACTATTGAACAGTTTATAAGTTGTATAACTTTTTCTGTTGAGTTAGAAAATGTGAGGCATGGTTAAGTTGCCTGTCTTTTGCCAAAATGAAATTTTCATTGTATATGATAAGTATTTTCATTACAGTTAATACATTCATAAGTTTTCGTCGAAATTATGAATCGGTCATTGTTAGACCACCATTAGAAACTCAAGATATTCAGCCTCGTGCATGATGAACTTATCACTTCATCACTGATCCAGCATCCAGCTGTGTTGACGTCTGACTGTAACCAATCCATGGTATTGCACAACCTCACCCATTGTCTTCAGTAGAAAATTGCCTACATCCTGTAGATGCGCACTCATTATCAGAGCCGTACTTGTTAAAAACGGACATTTAGTGCTTCAAGGCTTTTTACGGTGATCCAACAGTGATATAACAGTGTATATATGATTTAAATTGTGTGGAGATTTTCGATCCAACAAACATTAGGTTACTTATTTTGGAATATATATATATATATATACATATGTATCAGAAATCGTAACACTTGAAAACTGAAACATTTTAGTAACAGACCTGTGTTTATATTATTACAGATGCATTTGAGTGGTTGACAAAAACTGTTTGAGTAAACTTTTCATAACGACAACTGTTTTAGCTCAATGGCAAAATCAGGTATTCTCCATGTCATATTCAACTGCATCCAAATAACAGAATAAGTTTGGCAGTAAGTAGTATAAGTGATTTAACAAGACGGTTTAAATTTAAATTAGGAGAAGTAGATAGTGGCTAGCGCGGGAAATGTATAGGACCCGTGTTCGGTCCTACTTAGAAATTGTGGTGGTGGTGTTTGGTTCTCTGAGCTGAATGTTTTGGTTGTGGAGCTTTCATTGTTCTTCTACTGAGCAACTTCATCAACAAAAACTTCAGATAGGAGAAGTGAAGTATTCGAATTTCTCCATGTTTGACCTGTAGCTTGTTCCGCTAACCTCGATCTTGATTGCTTGCTGTTGTTGACCTTAAACCTGTCGTTGTTTGCACATTTGTTTTGATTGTATCCCGTTTTTGATCTGTTTCTTGATCCTATGTCACCTATGATTTTCCTGATTGGTTGATAAATTGGGTCAATGTCGATGTGTTTATTGATTGCTGATTGACCTGAGTGCCAAGCTTCTAAAAATTCTCTAGTGTTCTTTGTCCTCTCCAGAGAACCTTCCTCAGAGAACTAAACACCACCACCACAATAATCCTCCACCTGAGCTACAAATCTTCTCCAACACCTACTTAGAACTCACTAGCTCATTGTATCTACATCACAGAGTTGACACTTTATCTGGGATGTGAAGGCAGTATCAATGCAATCTACACAGGATGCACATACATATGAAAGAGATTGATCGATTAATTACAGTTGTGAACATCAGTGGAGAACATTCAACCAACCAGCACACAGATGAATGAATGTCACATCAGTGAAATAATATCACTTCAGACGTGTGATCATTAGTTTCAGACTATTGTTGTGCAGCAGTAGTATCTCATTTATTAAATAACAATCATTTTTCACTATTCAATAAAAATTATTTTGAAAAATTTGATCACCTTTAAAAATTTAAACAAATGAAAACTTTCTGATGAGATAAAATTAAAACGTGTCATCAGATCAGAACCAACCTTCTTATTTGGTGAAATTCCTTTTAATTTTTTTGAAAAATATTTTCTTACTTCAGAAGATTTTTAAGCCAATTTTTAAAATGTAAAAAGTAGTTTTGAATAATTTGTAAATATCGCAATGTTGGTTGACTTGATTTTGATAAGTCGTTCATACAAACAGACATGTGAATAAACAGTGTACAAGCAAAGTGACTAGAAGCGAACTGCAAAAGGCCAGCGAGCCAACTCAATGTGATGAAGTACGACTAAGTATTTATAGTCAGACAAAAATAACCTATCATTCTTACACCGCCATTAGAAACCTGGAAGCACTGGACGGCCGTTTCGTCCTGGTATGGGACTCATCAACAGTGCGTATCCACGACTCCTGCACCTCGCATTAACTACCAAAGACAAATGGGTGAGGTCGCGCATAATCCGTAGATCAATCAGAGTTAGACATTAAAACCGTCGGATGCCGGCCCAGTTGTCCGATGGTTAGGCGTTTGCGAAAAATCCCGAAGTTCCCGTGTCCGAATCATGAGAGGTGCAGGAGTCGTGGATGCGCCCTGCCACTGATGAGTCCCATACCAGAATGAGACGGTCGTCTCTCAGTCCTTCCAGGTTTCTAAAGGTGGTCTAACAATGATTGATTGATTGATGATTTCAAATGTGTAAAAATACAAACCTCCTAAACTCTGCCCGAAAAAATAATCTAGACATTGCACAAACAAACTGAAATT